AGCAGCCCTGCTAGAAACAGTCCCTGTGAGGGCTCTAGAGATAGGGAGGAGACTGAGCTGCCCATAACCAGGTTGGGTTGCAGCTCCACACAGCTGCTGACCCTGACCTTCCCACCTCTGCACAGCGAGAAATAGGCCTATGTGCTGAGCTCCTCTGTCTTCTGCCCATATCGGCTTCCTGGGCCCCACTGGGGAAGATTGGCAATCCTCTGGATGTCCTCACAAAAGGAGGTGCTGCATTTCTTGCTTCTCAGGAGCCACCAGGCTGCTGGGCACCCTGCTGACAGGGAAGGAGTGTGTATACCCTCACTCAGGTGTCAGGGCTGGCTGTAGGGAGTTTTGGGCATCAGGCTGGATGTGGCCAAACATGTTTGCTGCAAAGGATCACAGAAGTGTTGGCCGGAGATCAGTGCCCCTGGGGTCTGGCCCACCTGCTGATCTTCCACCTTGATTAGAGGGTGGCTGGGGTCTCCATTCAGCTGCCCAGAGTCTGGATTGCCTGTCAGGTCTGGAGCAGGATAAGTGGCAGTGGGAGTCGGAGGTCACGGAACTTGGGGGGGAATATTTGAGAACAGACTTATAATTAGGAAGGTTTGTGGTAAGGTTGGGGTGTTGTTGCTGTTTGGGGAAAGAGCCAGTGCTCACTCAGGTCTATGTGCTGTCATGGCAGAGAAGGACGTGGCTGGCCCAGCTGGCTGCTGAATGTCCACACCACGGGTGTTGCAAGGGGGAGCTTGGGGCGGGCAGGTTTCTGCTGGGATGAGGAAAGCTCCTTCCCCCCTCACAGAGGGAGACGAGCCCGCTAAGAACCAGAGAGCAGACAGGCAGCAGCTTGGGCAGCCGTGGTGGGCAGAGTCCGTCCTGGGTTCCCCAGAGAGTGGCAGCTGCAGTTGTTTTTCTGGGTCCTGCTTCCTTATGGGGAATGGCATGTCCCGTTTCCCTTTTCGGGAAGGAGGGCCAAGAGCAAGGTTTGCCAGGTTTTTTAAATTTGTTTTTCTTCTATATTTTTCTAATTATTATAAAATATTCAGAACTTACAATTTACCATTTTAATCATCTTGTAAGTGTATAATCCAGTGGCATTAAGTACATCCACAATGTTGTGTAACCACTATTCTAGAACTTTTCTTCATTCTTAACAGAAAGTCTGTATCCACAAAGCAGTAATTCCCCCTCCCCAGCTCCAGGAACCTCCAGTGCACTTCCTTTCTCTCTGCTCGGCCTCTTCTGGAAATTTCATGGAAGTGGAATTGTACAGTATTTGTAATTTTGTATCTGGTTTATTTTACTTACTATAATGTCTTCAGGTTCATCTGTGTTATAGCGTGAATCCCTAGTACAGAACAAGATTCCACTGTATGGATGTCCAGCATTGTGTTTATCCATTCAGATGGTGATAGATACCTCGTTTCTACCTTTTGGCTGTTATAAATGCTGCTGATGTCCCTATTAGCTATTTCTGTTCCTGTTTAAATCTGGTTAAAAGTATCTGTTTAAATCTGTCCTCAGTTCTTGGTATCCACCTAGGAGGGGATGGCTAGGCTGTATGCTAATTCTATGTTTAACTTTTTAAGGCACCACTAAACTGTTCTCTGTATTATTCATGCCAGCAATGCAAGAGGGTTCCAACTCCATCACATCCTCACCAACGCTGATATTCCTTAAAAAACAAAAACATCAACAACGGCAAAAAAAACCCCAACAGGCTCGGCACCTGTTGCTCAAGTGGCTAAGGTGCCAGCCACATACACCTAAGGTGGCGGGTTCGAATCCCCAGCCCAGGCAAGCACGGCTACAACCAAAAAAAAGCCTGGGTGTTGTGCCAGACGCCTGTAGTCCCAGCTACTTGGGAGGCTGAGGCAGGAGACTCACTTGAGCTCAGGAGTTGGAGGTTGCTGTGAGCTGTGATGCCATGGCACTTTATCCAGGGGAATAGCTTGAGGCTCCGTCTCAAAAAAAAAAAAAAACCCAACAAATAGCTGGGCTTGGTGGCGAACCTATAAACCCAGCAGGCTGTGGGGAGGACCTCTTCACACCCAGAGTTTGAAACTGCCTGTATGACAAACAAACATTTAGAAAGCCATCCTAATAGATGTGAAGTGGTAACCCTTGTTTTTGTTTGTTTTTGCAGTTTTGGCTGGGGCTGGGCTTGAACCTGCCGCCCCCAGTATATGGGGCCAGCGCCCTACTCTTTGAGCCCTGTATATAACCTGTGGTTTTCAGTTAGTTTCCTAAATGGCCAGAGATAATGAGCATATTTTCATTTGTTTTTTAGCCATGTGTGTATTTCTTGGAAGAAATATCTCTTCTAGTCCCATTTTTATATTGGAATACTTGTCTTTTTGTGGTTGAATTTTAGAGTTCTTTGTATGTTCTGGTTACACATATTAAACTCTCACCAGACAAACGACTTACAAATATTTTCTCCCTTTCTGTGCATTGAGGTTTGCTACTGTAGCCTCTGACACACAGAAGGTTTTGATTCTGATGAAGTGTGATGTATTTTTCTTCAGTTGCCTGTGCTTTTGGTGTTGCAGTGCGAGAAGTCACTGCCAAACTCACAGCCATGAAGATTCCTGTGTTTTCTTCTGAATTTTGTAATTTTACTTCTTAAAGTCAGGTCTTTGATCCACTTTGAGTTAATTTTTTAACAAATACTGTGAAGTAAGAGTCCCATGTCATTCTTGGCACGTGGACATTCAGTCACCCCAGCACCATTTGTTGAAGAGACATTTTTTCTGTTGAATTGTGATCTTTTCAACACTTGTTGAAAATCGGTTGACCACAGGCAGGAGAGTTTATTTCTGGGCTCCCAGGTGGATTCCATCAGCCCATGTGTCTAGCCTGTGCCAGTACAACATGGTTTTAATCATTGTAGCTTTGTTGTGACTTTCAAAATCAGGAGGTGTGAGTCCTCCAAGTTTGTTCTTTTGAGATTGTTTTGGCTATTCTGTGTCCCTTGAGATTCTGTGTGACTTTTATTTACTCATTTCATGTCCTTGAGGTGGTGCCTTGCTGTATTGCTCAGGCTGCCCTGAACTGACCTACAGCAATCCTTCTGCCTTAGCACCCTGAGTAGCTGAGACTAAAGGTACACACAGCTGTGCATGACTTTCAAATGAATTTTTCTATTTCTATAACTTTTGATGAGGATTGCATTAAATCTGCAAATTGCCCTGGGTTGTGTCGACATCTACATGTGCCTTAATTTTTCTCCTGGTGATCTAGACGTGTATCCTCTGAGACCTCTCTAATGGCTAAGCCTCCTGGGCCATTTCTCCCACTATTGCCACTGTGAGTGTAACCTTAGCAAGCCATTTAAAAATTTTCCATGACTTTTCAAACACAAAAGCAGAGTGGGTCCCTATGGGTCCTTTCTGCCTAAGCTTGTTTGTTTTTTTCACATCTCTGTAAGGTAAGAGGGACACCGCCCACAGAGGCAAAGCAGGGAGGTGGGACCATAGAGGTCCTGAGTCTGACAAGGCTAGAGTGGTCAAGACAAGAGCAGCTTTCCTGCTTCCCCACAGAAGGCTGGCAGGGCAACATTGCCATGTGGGAACACCCCAGCAGCCCACAATGGGTCCTCTGTAGTTCTCTTAGTGATGTCCTCATATGCTTACTCTTTTGTTCTGTACAACTGGGCAGTGGCCTCTGACTGGGCATGGTCTCACCTCCTTGCCCAAAGTGCTGGGGTAAAAGCTTCCCACCCCTAGGTGGGCATAGCAGAAAAGGGTAGTCTGGAAGCATTGGGACCCTGCTATTGTGAAGGCCTCTTGGGGGGCAGACAGGGGTATATTAGCCTGGAAAAGGCCCTCAGGAGGCAGTGTGGGCAATGGCCAGCACTCAGCTGATGGCCTGGGACTATCAGTCCCTCTGCAGTGGGTGGCAGTCCCTCTCCCAGGAGAATCCTGGTACTGTCCTCTGGGGGTTGCTGGAGGACCATAGGGAGGTCAAGGTGATAGTGGAACCCCTTCCCACAGGCACTGCATGGGGGGGCAGGGTGTGTCAGGTCAGCCCTGCCCACCTGGAGTGGGCAGGTGGGCTGGTCATCCTTGCACCCGCAGGCCCTCCCTTCAGCATGGCAACCCTGGGGAGTGCCCTGTCTCCTCCTGACTAGGACAGGAAAAGGGCTTTAGCTGACTGCTGCCCTCTGCTGCCTCACAAGGCCCTGCCTGCAAATTTATGAACCGACTGACTGAGAGATTAAAGACTTCCCACCTCGGCCTCCCAGAGTGCTAGGATTACAGACGTGAGTAACCGTTCCCTGCTGAGAGTAGAGATTTCAAAACCAAATCCTTACACAACCAAGTATTATAGGGATTCAGCTCTAGTTCGGAAGTCCAGGGTCCACCAAGTAATTTGCTATTTAAACAGAATATATCTTATTATTTTGGATATTTACTTCTAACACTTACTAGATTTCTCTCTCTTTTTTTTTTGAGACTGAGTCTCACTCTGTCACCCTGAGTAGAATGCTGTGAGTTCACAACTCACAGCAACCTCAAACTTCTGGGCTTAAGTGATCTTCTTGTCTTAGCCTCCCAAGTAGCTGGAACTATAGGCGCTCACCACAACACCCAGCTAGTTTTTCTATTTTGAGTGGAGACAAGGCCTCACTCTTGCTCAGGCAGGTCTCAAGTGATCCTCCCACCTCAGCCTCCAAGAGTGCTAGGATTACAGCTGTGACCCACTGCACCTGGCCTAGATTTTTTTTTTAATATAGGGAATAAACAAAATGGCCCATTACCTCACCACTCAATTACTACTACTGGTAATAATGGGTAAGTAAAAATAGATGGCAGATACACAGTAATATGCAAAGCAACTCAGCTGTCTCTGCTGAGGCCAGAGAGGTGCAGCACTGCCCTCGCCCCTGCAGGGAAGGTCCAGGCAAGGCTAGCCTCAGGAAAGGAGCTCAGACAGTGGACCTTGGCCACTTCTAGGTTACAATTTTTGTTGATTCTGCAAAGGCAAAATTAAGTCCAAACAAATTGTTCTACTTTGCTGCTGAGCTCAGAGAAGGCGGGCCCAGACCCTTCGTGCAGCCAGGAGCCCAGCAGCGGGGATTGGAAGCATCCAGTGAGCAGAGCAAGGGTAGGTGAGGATTTAGGTCCAGTGTATGTGCACAGACCTGCTGACCACATATCCACAAAGCCTGGGTGTGCACTCAGCTACCCAGGGCCTTGGCCTCCCTGTTGCTCTGCTGTTCTGTCCAAGGCCCTGAGGCTGTCTTCCAGGAGTGTCCCTTCCACGGCCTGAGCCTGCCTCCTTAGCCAGAAGTGACTTTCTCCAGGGTAGCTTCCAGCTAAGAGCCGTATCTTGTGTGCCACAGGGCTCCAAGGCCAAATGCCAGAAAGAGCATGAGTGACCACAGTGCCCTAGCAGAAGTTTTCCAAGTTCCTCTTTCTTTCTTTTTTTTTAAATTGAGACAGAGTCTTATCGCCCTGGGTAGAGTACCTGGCATCATAGCTCACAGTAACCTCAAACTCTTGGGCTCAAGTGATCCTCTTGCTTCAGCTTTTCTATTTCTAATAGAGATGGGGTCTTGCTTTTTACTCAGGCTGGTCTCCAACTCATGAGCTCAAGCAATCCACCCACCTCGGCCTCCAGAGTGCTAGGATTATAGGCGTGAGCCACTGTGCCCAGCCAGCAAGTTCCTCTTTTTTTGTGTCCTTTTCCATTTTTGGTCTCTAACTCAAAAGCATGGGCTTCTGTTTTGAACTTGGTGAGCTCTGCTGTGTGCTGGCTGGAGAGCCCTGTGTCAGTCTTATGTCTAACTGGGTCCTAGACTCCCTGCCAGAGGGCTGCTTGCCGTGATTCCATCATACCCACCAGGAACAGCTTTGCGTGTCTTGTCACTATGGTGGGTGGCAGGGCTGGCCTTTCTCAGTATGTGGCTGTGCCCAAGGGGAGTGGTAAGTGGGTCTGTCCTGGGGTGCTGGCCTGGGAACTGTCTGTATCCTTACCTGGCAATTCAATGTAAGGGCCACACGAATCTCTGGAGCTGTCTGGAGTATGAGTATCCAACAGGGGCTCCCGTGTGGGGCCTAGAGGCTGCATGGAGGAGGGGGTCTGCACCCTGAGTCCTCTCCTGGGGCCAGCCCCACTCCTCACTCCAGGCCACAGAGCCTTCCCCCACCTGGGTGTCCTTTCTGCTGCCAGGGAGGGGAAAGCGCTGGTCCACGTTCATCTCTATATTGTGGATGGTTCTAGATGGTTCCTGGGCTGAGCCTGATCTTCCCTTCCCGCACCTGTCTGGGCAGGGACAGGGACAGGGACAGCCTCCACGTGGGTCTGCCAGAGGAAGACCTGAGTGCCAAAGGGGATGCTGGGGGCCAGCGCCCTGGCACTGATACAGGCTAGGCAAGTAGCTTGTCTGAGCCTTGGCCTCCATCAGCACGGGGAGCCGCGGCAGCACCCCCAAACTGAGCGAAGGGCAGGCCGGAAGGGCAGAGAACGCTGAGCCCCGCCCACTCCCTTCCTCCCCCTCTAGATGCTGGCGGCCCCGCCCCTGGTGCTGGTTGCTGCCTCTGTGAGCCTGGCCCTGCTGGCGCTTGTGGCACTGCTGGTGCTGCGCCACTGGGGCTTGTGTGTCATCTCCTGGAACGAGTTTGTCCGGGAGCCTGTGCACAACCTGCTCATGGGGGACACCAAGGAGCAGCGTATCCTGCGGTACACGCTGCAGCATGCGGAGACAGGGAACCCGCAGAGCGTGCTGGAGGCCATCGACACCTACTGCTCGCAGAAGGAGTGGGCCATGAATGTGGGTGATAAGAAAGGTGCGGGTCCTGGCTGGCAGGTGTAGGCCTGGGATGGGGACCCCTGCTGCACAGCACAGCCTCACGGGGTGGGTGGAGAGGAGCCATATCGGGAGCCTGGGGACACGCCCTGGCAGGGGCTGCTGGGGAGCCCTGGAGCCTGAACTGCAGGCCTTGGGCTTCCTTGCTGTCTCCTCACCCCAGGCAAAGGTTGTGCAGAGACCTGGACACACCTCGCAGTTCCCAGGGTAGAAGAGGCACAGTTCCAATGTGCTTTGTCAGAAGAGTGCCAGCTAGCAAGGCCAGTTGGTCTTGTCTTGGGGTGGGGGGGTCAGGCTCTGTACCTTCCTTGCCATGGTCCCTAGTGACCCTGCTGCCTACTGCCTGGGAAAGACCAGAGCCTACACTCACAGGTTGTGAAGGCGTTGGGTCTCCCCTTGAACTCTGCCCTGGCCAACCATGGACCTGCCTGATAGGTCCTCCTGGGCCCTCCCACCTGGGCACAAGCCTGGGGCACAGCCCAGCTTTCAGAGAGGGCAGCTTGGGGTCGGGACACATTGGGGTCAGCCAAGAAGGGTGGGAAAGAGACAGGGTCAACATGTGCATGGTTTCCTAGAAGCACCAAGGGTTTGTGCAGTGGGGACCAGGTCCTTGTGCTGGCTGCCATAATGGTGAAAGTAAAAGGGCCTCCAGGAGCCACTAGGTAGAGTGGAGGTGGGGAGGCTGGAGGCCAGGTGTGTGGGAGGGATGAGCCTAGGCCCCCCGTTCCCCACACTCACATCCCCTTGCCCCTGACTCCAGGCCAGATCATGGACACCGTGGTGCAGGAGTACCAGCCCTCTGTGCTGCTAGAGCTAGGCGCATACTGCGGATACTCGGCCGTGCGCATGGCCCGCCTGCTGTCACCTGGTGCCAGGCTGATCACCATTGAGCTCAACCCCGACTATGCTGTCATCACCCAGAAAATGGTGGAGTTCGCAGGCCTGCAGGACAGGGTACGATGTGCCTGACCCTGGGTGACATGTGGACACCAGTTAGGGAGGGGCTGGTTCACACCCAGGCTTGGATCAAGGTGAAGTTCACAGAGCTCCTGCTGTCCCTTGAGTGTTGCTTAGGCCTAGGGCTGAGGAAAGAACCCCAGCAACTTGGCAAAGGTCTCTCAGCCCCATCCCACAGCATTCCACAGAGAGGAAACTTGAAGCTTCCCTGGGTGGGACAGTGCAGCAGGGACCTTGTCACCTCTAGAACCCACAACTGTCAGGGAAACCCTTGAGTGGGTATCCAGGCATGTCCCCTTGGAGCCGGGTGCTGACAGAACACTGTTCCAGGTAACTGTTGTGGTTGGGGCATCCCAGGACATCATCCCCCAGCTGAAGAAGAAATATGATGTGGACACACTGGACATGGTCTTCCTTGACCACTGGAAGGACCGATACCTGCCAGACACGCTCCTCCTCGAGGTGAGTGGGCCCCTGTGTTCACTGCTGCCACAGGGCACTGCCGGCAGCCTCAGCCACTTGCAGGAGCCAGGTGCCCCGCTGAGCTCTGCCAAGGGTGGGGGCCCTGAGTTAGGGAGCACAGAGGGCCATAGAGGCCCCATGGCAGGTGGAAGACAGGTGGGGGAGCCAGGCCAGGAGTCTGGCTTGGTGGCCTGTGGGGAATAGGCTTCCAGTCTGCCTGGGCTCAGTGAGGTGCTGCTGGATAGTGGGCAGTGGGTGCCATGGACCAGAACACATGCAAGGACAGGCCCAGGGGAGGGAGGCAGAGGTGAGCTGGGGCCACGTCCACTCTCCATGGGGCGCCCACTGTGCTGGTGCAAGGCAGCAGTGTCTCTTTTCTGTGTAGCCCCAGCCCTGCCCAGGAAGCCAATGCCTGAGTGAGTCAGGCACTGTGTGGGGTGTCCTTATCCCTGGGGCTGGGCTTGAGGTGTTGTGCAGCCATCTGAACCAACACCCAAGGGGCTAACATCTTGGTGGGCTGGTATAGCCTCGCTGGTCAGAAGGGACCCTGGGCAGCTTCTAGTCCTCCCAAGGCCCAAAACACTGCTCCCATAGCTTCCCCACCTGCTGTCCCTGTGCTGGCTAACTGCTGCTCGTCTCTGCAACCCTCCCAGTAGCCACACCTTCCCCTGAGCATGAGTAGGGCATGGCCCATAGAGGCCTGGGGTGTGAAAGGCCTCAGGACACCCTGGGAACAGGGAGGTTAAGCACCAAGCGATTTGCGCAGCTGAGAGTGAAGCTAAACCTCTCTTCCAGAAAGATGCCCATCAGTTTTGGTGAGGTATGTCCCTGGGGAGGGAGTCTCAGAGGCCCTCGGACTAATTGGGAGGTGCTGAGCCCTGGTAGTGGAGAGGGAGGAGTCCAGGGCCAGAAGATGGACTAGAGGACGTGTGTCGGCCAGAACAGGTGGCAGGGGCCTTGCCTGGGATCCCCTGAGATTCTGGGAGCCCCAACCTCGGCCCAGACTGGGAGGGAGCCCCTTCCTGGACCTTTGTTCTAGCTGTTTCCAGCCAACATTGCTAGGACACATGATTCACAGAAGTAGGACCTTGAGGTTACCCCTCCTCTCACTGACATGTAGCTGTGTTCCCCGCAGCTGGCCTGAGAGCTCCTCAGCTTCCTCCCGCCTCCCCATCACAAAGCCATCCTTAAGGCACACCCCTGAGTCCCCTGAAGACCCGCCAAACTTCAGGTTGTTTGCTTCTGCTATGACTATATAAAAAACCTCTATGCTTTCAAGGTCAGACCTCTAAGACAGAGCGACTGGGGCATTCCTTGCTGTGGTCTGCCGTCCCTGACAAGCAAACACTCTCACAGCTCTTTGTGACGTGAACAGATCCCCTGCCACTTTACACAGATAAGCACCCTGACATCTCACCCCTGAACGTGAACCCTGGGGCCACTGTCTGTGTGTCCAGTGACAACCCTGGGTCCTCCCTGTGCTCAGGCACCTGTGGAGATGGGGCTCTGCAAATGCAGAAGCTTGGGGGCACCCAGAGTCACCTCCCAGTCCCTGAGTGGCAGGCTTGTTAGTGGGGATTCAGCCCTGTCCAGCACTGTGGCCTGTCTCCTCTTGAGGGACTTCACCAACAGCCCCGCCCCAGGCATTGTGCCCTCTGCCTGGCTCCAGTGGTCACTGGCTCCACCATCTCCTGCAGTTATTCATCCAGCACCTGTGAACCACATGCCATTCCAGTGGCTGGGATGGACACAGGAATGAATAGGGGAACACAAGGTCCTTGTTCCCATGGAGCCATCTGCAGAGGTTGTGCTAGGAAGAAAATGGACTGTCTCAGGAGACCCAGTCCTCAGGGGCCAGCAGAGGCTGCGCGTGAGACTCCAGCCCTCACCCCCTCTTTCTGTCCCCTGCAGGAATGTGGCTTATTGCGGAAAGGGACAGTGTTGCTGGCTGACAACGTGATCTGCCCAGGCACACCGGACTTCCTGGCACACGTGCGTGGAAGTGACCGCTTCAAGTGCACACACTACTCCTCGTACCTGGAGTATGCCAAGGTGGTGGACGGCCTGGAGAAGGCCATCTACATGGGCCCAGGCAGCCCAACATAGCCTTGACTGCCCACCATGCTCTGGCTCCCTTGCCAACCCTGGTTCTAACAATTGCAGTGGGTGCTTCTGCTAAACACACTTATGCAGTTCTGGGGTCTGTCCCCAAATGCAAAGCACGCTCAGGTCCGAGGCCTGGGCCCTGCCCATAGCTCCAGACTGTTCTTTTTTAACAATCACGAACTCTTTACTAAAATCTATTAGCTGTAACTTTCTTACATGCCAGTATCATGTTTTACAATGCAAAAATTAAAGATCTAAATGTTTAGATACAAGGAACTGATTGAGTACCATTCTTTCCAAGTGCCATGCTGTGCCCTGGTTCCTCTGGTGCCGTGAGCTTTGGTACCAAATGTTCCAAAGACCCTCTGATAGGACACTGATGTCCCATGGCTGGCTGGGTCCTGGTATCATGGCCAGCCTTGGGGCTCCCAGCCTTGCTCAGCACTGTGCCTCCTTTGCCCAGGCCAGGGGTACCTGTTAGCCTCATGGAGAAGTCTGCCTGCTCAGGAAACTGGGATGAGGCCTCAGGCAACCTTCACACCCTCTCTGACCAAGTAGGCACTGAGGATTGGTAGACATGGCTATGCAGTGGTGCCTGGCCCCTCTGAGAAGAAACACCTTCCCCAAGCCCACCTGGCTTTGCTCCCAGAAAAGGAGGCTCAAACCAGGGATGGAATTCCTGTGGTTGTCCAGCTGGTAGAACAGTGAAGCAGCCTTGGTTTATGTCTGGCTAAGACCAGTGCTGCCCTAGCTCCTCCAGATGGTCAGCCTACCCACCACCAGCAAAGCTCTCCAAGGCCCCTGGTCCTGGAATAGCGACAAGATTCCAGCCCATCTGCACCTAGACCAGCCCTGCCTGGGCTGCCATCCCCAGGCTCAGGGCCCTTCTCTGGCTGTATAAGAGTTCAGCAGTGAGGCCAAGGGCCCAGTGTGGAAACCGCCAAGGGGCCAGGAACCACTGGAGGCCATCTCCACCTTGATAAACCCAGCCCTCATCACTGGCGACAGGATATCCCAGCCATAGAAGACAAAAAATTCTTTTGTTGTTTTTAATTTTTAAATTTTCTTACAAAAATTGAGATGTTTACCAATAGAGTCTTATTTTGGTTTCATTTTTAATGCATTTCATCAGTGTTTTTCTTCTGTTTTTAAGTCACAAACAACAGGCACTGAACAGCAGTCTCCCCACCACTGCTGAAGCTCAGTCCCGGAGGTGCTACTTGGGGCTCTGAGTGGATGCAGCAGCTGCGGCCCTGATGGTCAGTACAGGGAAGGGCACCACTGCATGGGGGCCCACACATCTGCAGGACCAAGACAGGTGGTAGGGCATGTGGAGCCTGACCCCGTCCTAATGCCTTCAAAGCCGCCTTGCCTGGGCCCAGGCCTTCCTCTGTGGTTTCCCTGCCATGCAGGGTGGCTACAAGGGGAGTCCTCCACCCTCTGAGTCCAACTTCTCTGCCCTGCCCCCACTCTCTGCCTGGCTGCCTGTCCCTGGGGTCTACACCGCCAACCCAGCCCACTCCTCTTATGCAACCTTACACAGGGGCACACACCCCTTACCCTCCAGCCCCAAAGCACAGCCAGGCACCTTCCCTGATGCCGCCCTGGTCCTGCCCTTGCAGCTCAGCCAGCCTTCTCAGACCTTCTTTCACTCGCTCACACACAGCACCATGTCAGTAAACAGCTAACTTAGGTCTAGGGAGTTAGGTGGGGAGAGCAGAGGGGGGTGGGGAGGGGCAGGAGGGCACCCCAAAGCCAGGCCCTGGCTTGGGCCACAGGCACTGCCAATCTCTGCCACCAGGGTGCTCGGAGCTCCACGACAGGGTCTGCTGAGGACGGCCCTTCTTGGGTGAAATGATCCCTAAGAACAAGCAGCTGGGCCTGGGCCCTGCGGAGGGAGAGAGAACAGTATAGCCTGGGCAGACCGTGAGCTCGATGGGTGGTGGGGGTGGGGCAGGACAATGTGCAACCCTGGCAGGACTCTCTGTAGACAGAAGTGTGGTCGAAGTCAGCTGCTCTGAGTGTTATGGGCTAACCTGAGGGTGCCGGCACCAGGGGCCATCCTGACTTGCTGGTCCTCATGATGCCTGTGCTCCAGGCATCTGACGTGGGGGCTGTCCCTACTCTGGTCCTGTCTCCTCGAGGCTTTTACCCCACGGAGCTGGGGAGGAGGCTTCAGGCCCAGGAGCACCCTCCCACTCTGACCTCAGTCTGGCCTTCCTAAGCCAGGCGCTTGGTCCTGCCAGGGTGCATGCAAGAAGAGCAGAGCGTGCAGACAGCAGAGAGGAGTGGGAGGTCTCCTCCCAGAGAACAGGAGACAATTGGACAAATGACCAGAAAAAGAACGTACCAGGCATGCAAGCTAGACCCAGGAGTCAACGGGCTGAGGCTTAGCGTCCCCCACGGCGTCCACTAGCCTGACTGTGGGCCTGCTGGACCCAGGGGGCGGGGCCTTCCTGCCAGGGTCGAGCTGCAGCGCATGGCGGGCAGGTGGACAGGAGGGCATTAGAAGCACAACAGAGCGGGTTAGTCAGCACTGTCTGCAGGGCAGGACTGCACAGGGGGCTGGGCTATAGCCAGAATGGTGTGAGGGTAGCCAGCCAAGGCAGCACGGGGGTGCTGAGGTTGAGGGGAGCTGAGCTGGCATGACTCATATGGGCCAGGATGGTGCGTGGACACACAGAGGCCTACGCAGGAAGCCTGGGGACTGGCATAGAGCGGGTGGCAGGTGCTGCCCTTGCCCAGCATGCTCATGCAGAGAGGGTGCAGACATGCCTGCAGGGTGTGGCTAGGCAGCACTGTCCTGCCCCCCCTCCCAGTAGGTGTGAGCTGCAAACCCATGAGTACCCACAAACTGACATAAGAGGGCAGCCTCCTGTGCTTGGTCCCCCAGGGCCCAGACCAGACTCAGTAAGGCTTGGGCTGCTCTCCAGGCTACTCCTAGGTATGGAGCCTCTCTGGGTGCCTGCCCACAGCCACTTACTTTCAAAGGCTCCTTCTCAGAGGCCTCCCCTGTGGAGCCACTGCCCCGAGCCCTGCGCTCCCTCCGTTCCACGGTGGAGTATCCATCTGTGGGCAGGGTAAAGAGGAGGCATGAGGAACAGATGTCCCTCTCAGCCTGAACATAGGGCCCCAGGGGCCAGGGGTTTTGGGACAGGGCTCCAACCTGCCATGGCCTGGAGACCTGTGCAGACCCCGGGTCCCACCAGGCCCCTGTCTCACAGAGGCATGGCCCTTGTTTGTGCCCCCCACCCCCCATGACAGCTCAATAACCAACCCCCCCTTATCTGGCTGATCAGAGGCCCTGGCTGGGCACTGACTGCTCTCTAGCTGCCCTGCCCCTCACTCCCTGAGCCCACCAAACCAGATCTCTGCTCTCCAACTAACACCAACCACACTTACCCCATCAAGCCAGCAGGCTCATTTCTGGCCCTGGCCTCTCCCTGACGTGCCTGTACTCACCTGGGCCCAGTGCGTCCATGGGAATCACGTCTCTACTGCTTGCTTTCTCACTGTCTGCAAAGCAAGGGCAGGCAGCTGGTTGCCCACAGTGGCCAGGGGGCCAGGGCAGACACCTCAGCAGGGTTGGCCTTGGGGATCCCAAGCACCCTCTGTCACCTAAGATCCTTGCTATTTTTGCCCAGCCTCTGCCAGCTGACAATCCACACCCAACCTTGACACCAATGCAGGTGCCATGGGGAGGACTTCAGAGCCGACTGTAAGGCCCTCTGGTGGGAGAAAACCTGTCTCTCTCCTCTGCTCCTCACCAGCCTTGTCAACACTGCCCCCACCCTCCAGCCAGCACTCACCCAGGCTCTTGTCCACCAGTGGCAGTGTGCTGTCATCAAAGCCCCCAGGACTTGGTGCTCCCTTGGAACACCTAGCGGCAGCAGCTGCTGACTGTGGAGACAGGAAACGCAAGCAGGAAAGTTGTGGTCCTCTCTCTCAGGGACCCAACCTGGCGGAATGTGAGGGAAGGGCCAGGCAGGCCGCACCTGGAAGCGTGCCTTCGTCCAGCCGTCCCTCTGCAGGGCGCCACGCAGCTCCTTGTAACTCCACACGGTCTGCAGCACGTGGGACGCAGCCTTCACCTCGCGCACGGACTGGCTGCGGTGGGCGGGTCGCGTCAGTGGCGGCCCCTCCTCAGCCGTCCCCAACCCTGCCCCCACCCCAACGCCCCCACCTGGAGGCGACGAGAGCCACCAGAGCGGGCACACCACGGGCCTGCAAGAGCGAGCGCGCATTATCCACGCTGTCAGACACGATCTCGTGGATGGTGTTAAGCACGGCCACCACCGTGTCCTCCTCCAGGCGGGCCCCAGGTCGTACCGGAGCCTGCGCATTGCGCACGTTCCGCACCAGCTCTGCCATGGCGTAGCTCCCTGGGGATGGGACGGGGTTAGGGCACACCTCCAGCCTGCCCCTCCAGAATGGAGCTGTGTTCAGGTGAGGGGCACCACCAGGAGGGCCCCAGGACACGCAAGATCCTTGTGAGCGGAGAGGGCCACGATGCTCAAACTACCCACCACCCAGCCTCTAACGGCGGGACCTCGGAGCTGCCTGCCCGGTTCCGGCGCCCAGGCCTGCTCTGGCCTCTCACCGATGAGGTCCTTGTTGCGCCGGTCCAGCGAGAGGTTGCGGAGAGCGATAGCAACGGCGCGCACTACCTTGTCGGTCTCGGACTGCAGCAGTTCCACTAGCACTGGCAGCCCGCGCTCCTTGCGCACGGTGACGCGGATGTACGTGGCCCACTACAGCAGTGGAGGGAAAGAGAGGACTGCGGAGATGCACGTGCCAGGCACGCTCCCACCTCTGGATCCTGACCGGTCCCTCCGCTGGCTCTTCCTCCTCCCCTGCGACAAAGCCCTATCCCCAACAGCTCAAAGCCAACTCCACCAAGAAGCCTCCCCACCATCCAGTGGCGCACTACTTGCGGCCCATACGCTTTGAACCTCTCTGACCTTGGGGAAGCGCTGTGTCTCCTCCTCTCCCCGCCAGGCCTAGCAAGCGCAGTACCAATGAGGTACTTGCCCTCCCTGCCAGACAGACTTGGCCTCTCACCATCCAGTTGCCCGCACTGAGGTTCTGCAGGGCGCCAGCGGCAGCCTCCAGAGTGTTGAAGTTCCGGCTCTCCGTGAGGAGGGAGAGGTAGAGACGTACCACCTCGGGCTGGTATAGCAGCTCAAAGCCTGCGTACAGGATAACCACCACCCGCAGTCACCCAGAACCTTCTCCCTCACCATCATCACCTTCCCTCCTATCCTGGGTCAGACCTCCCAGGGCCAGTGTGAGCTGGGGCCAGGAATGGGTGTGGAGCCGCTCCGGAATGTTTAGGATCAGTGTAGTCACCCAAGGAAGAAAACAGCCCCATTTTACAGCGGCAAACTGGGGCTTAGTCCATAGAAGTTGATAAGCCTCACAAGCACCCCAGAAGCCTGAGGTGGCAAAAGGGCCACCCCCCTAGCAATAGGGCCCGCCCTCCCTGTACAGACTGTGCACCCAGGGCCACGCCCCTACCAAGAGGGCCTGCCCTCCCTGGCAACAGGGCCGACTTCGACTTTGCAAGTAAGACTGTGCACCCAGGGCCATGCCCCTAGCAACAGAGCCCACCTAATGTTGGACAGTACAGCCAGTCCAGCATAACCCCGCTAAGGCAGCGCCACCAGGGTAGCTGCCCTAGAAACAGGACCCAGGTTCCTCAGCAACCACTCCAGCTCCCCAGCAATTAAGGCCCCAGTCTGGTACCCTAGAGTGCTCCAAAGATGAGGTACCAAGGCAGCCTTCCAGATCTGCCTGTCCCCACACAAGGCTTCTGCCTGGCTCAGGACATTACTTCCCTCTCCCCTGTCCTGCCCCATTCCATGACCCCTTGTCCAGTGCCCATATCTGTGTTCCCTGTACTCCAGCCCTCACATGCTACACACCCACTCCCCTCTCAGGGTGTCTGCAACTCTGCCTGTAATGCTTGTCCTTACAACCCCACGCAGATCCCTTCTGCCTTCTACCCCAGGTGGGGACCTGCAGGCTCTTCCAACTTGCCAGGCTGGCTAGGCCCCAACAGGGCAGAACTCTCTCATTCAGGCTGGCTCCCAGCATACAGCAGGATCCCAGCACACTGAAGAAACTCAACACACACAGGGGTTGGAAAGACGATCCAGGCATTCTGAGCCTCTCTGGCCCTGGATCTGACCATGTCTGCCCAGCTACCAGTCCTCACAGGTGGACACCAGCTCTATAACCAGCACTGGAGGCCCCAATTTCACTGGGGCTCTCCCCCCTCCAACACTGCCAACCTCTCACCTGCTATATGGTTGTGCAGGCACCTGGCCTCTCTGCCTCTCCACCCACCTTATCCAAACTGACCCTGATTCTGAACTTTCAACAGGTCTTCAGGACTGGACTATCCTCCGAGGAATCCCACACCTATGGGCCTCAGTTTCTCCATTTGATGACCAAAAGCTTCACTACGGGGACAGTCCTGGGCCCGGGCTCCCCTGAAGGTACAGGCTCGGTCCCTGCCACTCACCTTTGGCAGCCTCCGTTCGCTTAGGCAGGTCTAGTGTGTCAAAGTTCTGGTCCACCTCACCATCCTTCTTCCCTGGAAAGGAAGTGGGGCAGGAGGTCAGGTGGACCCCATGGAGGGCAGGAGGTGTCAGGAAGGTTGCACAAAGCCCTCTCCTGACCAGGCCCCAAAGAATACCAAGTACAGGGCTGGGCACCTGGAGGCCTTGGGAGTACAGCACCACTTTCCTGAGCAGGCAGATCATCCCAGGGGAAGATGGTGGTGGCTGTGGGTCCTGGGGATATCCCAGACCTGCCCCAATCCCCTGGGACTCATTTCCCACCAGACAGCTGGAAGCTGTACACAGACCCTCACAGTGGCTCCCCTCCAGCTGCCAGGTGTGTCGCTGAGCAGTCAGGAGCCCAAGTTAGGTAGCAGGTAGGTACTACACACAGAGAAGCTGAAGGCTGACAGGGACAGGGCTTGCCTGGGTCACACAAGGAAGGGCTGGGCCAAGAGCTTTCTCATGGCAAAAATTCCCTCATCTGTGGCCAGGACACTATCCCAGGCTGTACCCCACAGCAACCCCATGTAACACTTGCACAGTCTAAGGTAGCACAACTCCATGATGGAGAACTCACTGCCTCCCAGCCACCTTCCCCACGTCAGATAAAGAAGCTTCTCCCCTTTAGAAGGCAGCAGAGCTGAACTCAGATGATCTGGGGCTCCACCCTGACCACCCTCACAGGACCTTTCTGCTGTTCCTCTGAGCCACACACCACTCCATTCCATCACAGGGGCAGACTCTGATCCTGGGCCTCTGGGGATGGACACAACCCAGGCCCTGCCCACCCTCTATAAGTCTGAGATTATAGGGGCAACCTCTTGGCCTCCCTAGGGGCACACATTTCTGCCACTGTCATGGAAATGGTGGCCCAGAGATAAGATCAGGGCTGGGGCAGAGCCTTGAGGCTAGAAGGTGCTTCCCCCTTACTGGGAGCCCACAGCACCTGGCAGGCTGGTTCTGCAAGACCAGCGTGGACTCAAACTCACCTTGATGGAACCACTCCTCTGGGCAGCCGGAGGAAGCACAGGAGAGAGGAGAGGAGCCTGAGCAGGTAGGACTCCGACACCCTCTTGGGAGGCCTCAGATTCCCACTGCACACTCTGGATCAAGCAGCCAACGCATGGGACCTCACCCAGATTACTTTGGGGGGCTCAGTGGTCACCAGTGAAACATGGAGGGGGGCTAGGGGTCAGTGGGGCAGGTGAAGGTGGTTCACAGGTGTGACTTCAGTTGCCAGGGATGTGGGTCGTGGGGACCTACACTCACAGCCTGGTCAGGTTTACAGCTACTGAGAATGGCCAGCAGGTGGCATCATTGGTGGCCCTTTTCCAACTTGAAGGCTCACAGAACTCTTCCCCAGCGTGGAGGGGCTGGGCTGAGTACCCTGGTCCCCGTCAGCTGTGATCTAAGGCAGTGCACCTTCCTTGGCTCCCTGCTTCCCTATTGGAGGCTGACCAGGTGTCCTCCAGCCTCCATCACTTCCCACTAGGGGCATGGAGAGCCTTCAGCCCGGGCCAAGGGTCTAGAGTGGTACCCCAGGCTCACCCACCCACCTTTGGCCTTCTTGCCACCAAAGCAGCTGGCGTCATCCCGCCTCCGGCGCTGGGGGCCCGTGGCACTGCCCGGGAACCCGGGCTCTGCCTCCTGGTACCTGTCGGCCCCAGGCACCTCCTTGTGCACGTGGTAGGACAGGTTCCGCATGATGCACACGCAGTTTTCCACTGACTGTGGGGAGAGGCCAGCAGCTGGGGCAGGTCTGTGTGCCCTGGGCACTGCTGCATACCCGAGCCCCTAGGCACAAGGCCAGCCCTCAGCCAGCATGCACCAATGCCCCAGAAGCAAGGGATAGGGAGGCCTCACAAATGCTAGGGCAGAGCACCATGCCTAATTCACAGCACAAACTGCAAGGTGGGCCATGTCTAAGACCTACCTGACTGTGCTGCCCGAGGGTTCTGGCCCCAGGGCCTGCTCTTGCATTGCCATCTGTCCCTCCCTAGATGGAAAGCTGTGAGACTGTCCCACCCCACCTTGCCTACCTTGTTGTCTGTGTCTTTCCTGCCCACAGCTGACTGTAGGGCGTGCAGGAGTGCGTCTACCAGCCCTTCACACTCCCGGAGTCGCCGCCGGGCCTCGGCACCATCTGAGCTCACGTTCCTGGGTGGCCGAGAACAGGCCTAGTTACCCCTGACCCCTCAGGAACTCCTCCAGCCCCATCCCAGCCTTGGTTGCTTATCTTCATCTCTAAATAGGCCCTACTGCCACCCCTGGGGCTACTGAGATAGGATGGCCAGGGTGTCTAACAGCCCCCCTATACCCCAGGAAGTAGGCTCAAGCTGGGTAACTCCGTGGGGGAGGAGGCAGGTGTATTTAAAGGCACAGAGGTGGGCCCAAAGAAGCAATTCTGAGCCCCCATGTCAGTGGCAGCTCTGGGCCCTGTTGTGCTCCAAGGTCAGGACCCCACAGGGCCGGGGGACACATCCTGGTGACAGGCAGGGCTGTGAGACCAGGACTTGCTTGTTGAGATCTCTGCAGGGCTTCCCAGGGGGTAGGTGTGGGAAGAAGGCAGGGGTCTCAGGAAGGTGGGATGAGCACCTAAGGCAGACGGACACAAAGGTCCCAGCTTCCCATGGCTAGGAAGGGGGGCTGGAGCTGGGCAGGGTGAGGGAACCAGAGCAGGGAGATTCTGACCAGAGGGTGTCTTTCAGGGTAAGTACAGTCCCGTCAGGCCCCACTCATCCTCCACGGGCTCAAGCTGCGACCCTGATGCCCAAGAGGTAGGTGGCCTGCTATTTTCTCCCTGTCATCTGGGACCAGTAGGATGGCCAGCAGATGTGTGGTCAGGCCATCAGTCACCCTATGGGAGCAGCCCAGGAAGAAGCTGGCCACACCTCAGGCAGCCCGATGTGTTCTTGAAGACAGTTGTCCACTCGGCATCCCGTGGCTTGGAGTCCTCATTGGGCTCAAGTTCCCAACCCGAGTGGGGCACGATGACCTCATGAGTCAGCGTCTGCAGGCCATGGTCGATGATGACCATCTTCAGGGGCTCATAAGATGACAAGTTCCAGAGTGTGCCTATAGGTGTGATTGGCCGTGCTGACCACAGGCACTTTCCTCCCTCCCCTCCTCCCCAGGTGACTGTGTCCAGGTCCTGATCCACCTTCCCTGTGCCCCAGTTCACACAGAATGACAGGAAGTAACAGAAGCCAGGAAAGCTCTGGAGGCCAGCCTGGGCAGCACCCAGTTGTGGCTCCTAGCCAGGATGGAGTCCAAGAGGAGGGGATGGGAGGGCTGTCCCTTTCCCTATTCCCTTCTACCTGGGCTAGTGGGACCAATGCTCCTAAGACCACAGGGAGGTGGTCAGGTGGCTCTGCCTGTCCGTCAGCCCCCACAAAGCACAGTCCTTCTAGGCAGGACCCAGGGCAGCTACAGTGGGGACATGGGGTCCACAGGGAAGGGCCTCCTAGGCAGGCTCTCCCAGAGCTGGACCTCCCAACAACCTGAGCATTTCCCTGGCCAGGAGCCCCCGAGTGGCCTGGGGGCTCCTGGGCTCAGCCTTCTGCTCCTTCTGGGAGAGGTCCCGCACACGCTGGACCCACTTACCAGTGACTAGCTCACGGACCTCACTGTCCCTGGCAGCCCGCAGCAGGCGCACCAGGGCCGGCACACCGCCGCAGTCCCGGATGGCAGCCTTGTTGTCAGTGTCCCGGCCATAGGAGAGGTTGCGCAGTGCCCCGCAGGCCCGGCGCCGCACCTCGGACCGAGGGTGGTCCAGCAGCGCCACAAGCAGAGGCAGTCCCCGCAGCTGCCGCACCCGGCGCTTGATGCCCTCATTCTCAAAGCACAGGTGCTGCAGGTAGGCGGCCGCGTTGGCTTTCACAGGGTCCACAGGGTGCCGAAGCATGGCCAACACCTCAGGAAGTTCGGGGTCCCGCCACCGCGGCTCCTTACGGGTGCTGTCCACTGAGGGTGAACGTCGCGCCAGCCGGTCCAGGCTGCCCAGGCTGCCCCGTTCTGGCTGGGCCAGGGGCGCTGTTACTGCCGGGAATGCAGGCCGTTCATCCAGCAGCTCACCACCATCATCTGCCGTGTCCTCGTAGGCCCTGTGCAGGCAAGCAGGGCACGTTGACGTCCTCACAGCAGCCGCTGGCCCTGCCTCTGAGCTGCCCATCACACCCTCTCCTGGGGACTGTGAACTCACCCAGCAGGGCTGGGCCACGAGCATCTGTGTCTTGGCCCCAAGAAGGCAGAGGGCGCTGGGAGTCAGACCCCAGCCCAGCTGACAGCCACCAGGGCTTGCATCCCTCCCAGCACAGGGAGCTCTCACTGCTGTCACCAGGTAGCATTCCCCTTTCCTGAGCTGGATGTATTTCTATGGAACATCCATCTACAACTGGGGAGGGCCCCTTCCTTCCCTGAAGCCACTCCACCTTCCTCTAAGACCAATCTCCAGGATGTAGTGGGAAGCGTTGGCCCTCCTTGTAGGGTCCCTACAGCCGTCCCAGTGGAACCATGCGAGAAGCAATCAGGCCACCTCCCATCAGGCCATAGGATGTCCTTGGCTCTCAGTAGCCCTGTGGGTTGTCATTATCACACCTACTTCCCGGAAGAAGGATTGCAGCTGGAGTGGTCAAGGTGGGTCACACCCCACTCTGCAGACACTGGGACCAAAGAGGCAGGGGCTCTGGGCTCCAGTTACTGCCATGCATGTTGAAAACTGAGGCCCAGGGAGACCAGAGCCTCTTGTGCTAGGGTATTCGTGGCCATATGGCTAGAGCAAAGGCAGCAGGTGTCAGGCACAGTCACCAGTCCTGGGCCCGAGGCAGGGTGCCATCCTAATTTCTATTGCCTCGGGACTTTCCCTGGCTGTGGTTCTGACCAAGAATCAGGGCCTACACAAACCAACCAGGATATGACTAACTTAACCAGCAGCCAGACTGCCTGTGGGTCACCCTGTGGCTGGGAGTAGAAGGCAGACTTCCCAGGGGGAGGCAGCTGCAGGGGACAGAGTGCTCACCTGGTGCGCAGGCCCTGCCCACATTCAGGCCTCCTTCTCGTGGTTGTGCCATAGTCAGGCTCCAGCTCAGGGCCACCCTCATCATCAGCGGCCAGGCTACGAGTGTCATCCTCCAAGCCATAGGGTTCTGCCTGGAAGCGCTCAGGCAGGGAGCGGCCACCTGGCGGCCCAGGCTCAGGGCCCACAGGGAAGGCCTCACGGCGGCCAGGCAACGTGAAGCAGCCATCAGCAGGGCCCAGGCCAAGGGGGCCGGTGCGTGGGGGCCGCACACCCAGCCCACGAGATAGACTGCCATAGCTAGGGCCATCCCGGGACTCGGGGCCATCAGGAGGGCCACCCCCGCTACTGAGGTAGGCTCGGGAAAGCGTGGCTGCTGGGCCACCACCACGTAGCAGGAAGTGCCGGTCCAGGGGGCCGTCGGCAAAAGGGCCTAGAGGGGGGCCACCATCCAGCAGGGGGAGTCCATCTGGGCCCAGGGGCACCTGGCGTACCGTCCGCGTGGTCACCGTCTTGACCGTCTTGGTAACCTGGTGGACAGGCGGGTGCCAGTGGGCTGGGGAGCCCAAGAGTTCTGGAAACTACCCTAGTGGGGCCAGGTTGGCTTCTAGGTGGCTGGCTCACATGTCCACACTGCAGATGGGACAGCTGCAGCTGCCTGGTCCACTCTCTCACCACCCGGGCCCAGCCATACCTTGGTCTCAGTGCGCCGAGTTGTGCCATCTTCAGATGTGACAATGGACACGTGAGAGGTGGGGGTGCCAGGGTCCTCCTCCACTGTCACTGTCTCCTCCAGAACCTCGGGAGCCTCTGGCATTGTCGCCAGTGAGGCCTGGCTGCCTGGGCTCTGCTCCTGGGGTGAGGTAGGGTGTCAGTGGGCAGGACCACAGCCTGTATGTGCCTGGCATGTAGGTCCCCATAAAGACAGAACGGCCTCAGCGTGTGTCTCCTCCTAGCCCCCATGCCCACCTACCCCAGGGCTGGTCTTCACCCAAGCATGACAGCAACGGGTTCTTGCCCTGTCACTCCACCCCAGGGTTCCTCAGGCTGAGTTGGGATGACCTCCTGATGTGCCAGGATTGGCTGATACAGGCTCCTCCAGGCCCGAGGAGGCCCCCGGTGTGACCTGCAGGACATCCTCCTAAGGTCAACTCCCACACCTGACAGGGCTCTTCTGGTATCCTGGGGTCTCCTCCCTGCCCTATCCTAGAGACCCTGAGTGCAGAAGTCTTGGGGGAACAGTTTCACCACTGCTTACTGACTCGCAGCCCCACCCAGACTCCTACCACCAAGGCCAGCCAAACGCCCTCAAAAGACAGAAATATCGGCTCGGCGCCTGTGGCTCAAGCGGCTAAGGCGCCAGCCACATACACCTAAGGTGGCGGGTTCAAATCTCCAGCCCGGGCCCGCCAAACAACAATGATGGCTGCAACCAAAAAATGGCCAGGCATTGTGGCGGGTGCCTGTAGTCCCAGCTACTTGGGAGGCGGAGGCAGGAGACTCGCTTGAGCCCAGGAGTTGGAGGTTGCTGTGAGCGTGATGCCATGGCACTCTACCCAGGGGGATAGCCTGAGGCTCCGTCTCAAAAAAAAAAAAAGACAGAAATATCCATTCCCAGAATGCCCTGTGCACCCACAGGACCAAAATATCTCACTCCTTTCAGCTTGGACTCTCTCAGGTATCAAGGGGGCACACCCTGGCCCTACTTTGGGCCCTCCACTGACTGAGAAGCGGGTGTCATATCAGACATTAGAAATAGAGCAGATTGGGACCTACATCCACACTTGCCACCATCCTGCAAGAGATGACCACAGTGGAATTCTAAGACAGCTCTGGGCTGAGACACTTCCAAAGCTCACAAGCCTACTGGACAGACTCGTCATCAGGGAAACTGAGGCTAAACGTGGACATGCTGGCCCACGTCAGAGCTGGCCTGACAGTTGTTACGCTGCTTGGTATAGGAACCCTAGACCCCCAGTCTGCCCTCAGGCCTCTGACCGCATAGGCCCTAGGCCCACTCTGCAGCTGCACCAGCATCTGAGATCAGCACCTACTCAGAACAGGCAGGAGTGAAACTCAGGCTGCGGTGGTCCAAGGAGGACACATTCCCAGATAGCCAGGGCTGGATCAGCAGGAAGATGGGTCTCTTGCGTGGACCCACTGGGACCCAAACCAACACTGAGTCCCACCTGGCTCCAGAGCAGGACTCCACCTATCCCTGGGCCTAGGTTAAGCCAGGCAAGGTGCCCAGGGCTATCCCCAGGACCTGCCTGCCTACGTCGGGGTCCTATCCCAGAGGAATGCTTGACCTCTGATGTATACAGTGCCAGGTCCAGGAAGGGGCTAGAACAGAGGCAGCCCTCATGCTCTAAGTGACACAGGAAATAAGAAGCCACAGAATGTACCTCCCACCACCCCAGGAGCAGGCCCTCAAGAGAATGTTTCCCCTTTATAGATGGGGAAACTGAGGCCTGACTCAGGAGAGAGGATTCACCCCGGTCTTCACAATGCTAGTGGGAGGGGTCTAAGGCACTGCAGGGAAGACAATTTGGCAGAGGTACTCTGAGCCTCACCTTGCCTCTGTCTTGGGGTGTGGGTGGTAGAATGCCTGCTAGGGCCCTAGCCAGGAAGAGAGAACCCTGTTCCCTAGGAAAGAGAAATAGACTGAGGCCCCAAGTGGGGACAACGGCAGGCTGCCAGCCAAGGTGGACTGGGCTCTTCTCCAAGGGCCCTGGGGATCCAGGACTGCTCCAAGCAAGAGGCAGCACATGGCTGCCCATCTGTATGTGACCCCTGTGGGGCCCTGGGGGGCTAGTCAGGGCTCCAACCGTGAGGTTGAGCAGTTAGTTCAGTGGTAGGGTGGGGGCTGGGGAAGGAGCAGGACTGAGGGGATGTTGCCCAGGACACTCTGCAAGTGGGATGTGACCCCTCTCAGATTTACATATATTTACATACATTAAACATGCCAAGAAGAGCCCCCTACTCCCTCACTAGGCAGTAGGGGGTAAGGAGGAGGAGAAAGGATAGCTGGGGCCTGGGCTCCCACTCTGGGGCCCAGTGAACCTCTCCCATCCTAGCTATGGGGAGGGTCTGACCATGCAGAGCTCGGTGGTCCAGGAGAGCTGGGGGCCCCACAGTGAGGTCAGTATCCCTATGACACTCCCACCAGCCCAGAGCCAGCAGCGGAATCCCAAGGCCCCAAGAGTCTCTGCTGGCAAATGACCTCAGGGAGCCAAAAAGAAGCAATGACTTCACCCAGAAAGGAGTGTGAGTCAGCCGGTGATCACGGGAAAGCCTGGCCCCCATTACACAGACCTGGACATACATACATACACACATAGGCACTGGGATCTGGACACAGTGTGCATGCACCTGATCCCTCAGACAGGAACATGTGCACGTCCACACGTGTGTGGGCACCCAGTGGGCACTCAGGCCCAAGTATGTCAACCTGCATGCTCTGACAGCACCCCAAGTGCATGGCACCCACTGTTCCCGAGGACACTCATCAGTACACATATCCTCAGGTCCCCCACTTGTCCAGACCTTATCCATGCAAGGCCTCACGTGCTCTCAACACACACAGACAAGGGCCACCAACTCCCTCCATCACCTACCCAGGCGTCCACTCTGGGAGTCTCAGAGCTGATGGTAAATAGGGAAACTGAGGAGGCCTAGAGTAGTGAGAGCCCCACCCAAAGCCATGGTATGGCTGGGGCTGTGGGATATTGGGTTGATGACCAGCACACAGTTGGCATCAACAGCGGGGCTGGTCTGGGTACCCGGACCCCTGCCTGACCCTAGCACCCTAATCCAGGGTACCATGACTCATGACTCGGGGCTGGTCCACTCTCAGAGGCCCCTAACCTAGCAGCTCCACACAGCCTCCGTTCCAGACCCAACTCTGAGATGTGTCCCTCTGCAACCCAGACACCAGCACTATCTTAAAATACCCCACTCCCAGCCCAAACCAACATGCCATGACCAGGCAACAGTCTCTTGCCACCTGCCCCCAGCCTGACCATTCTTGCCCCTCATGCAAGGACCATGCTCAGTCTCCCACCACCCAAATCTCCCATCCCAGATCCCTCCATGGCTCTCCTTTCTGTGCTGCTCCTGCTCCATGGCCCTGAGCCTGGCCCAAAGAAGCAATGCTCCCCAGTTCTGGGGCTTCCCACAAACTCCCTTGGGCTTGTGGGAGGTGCTAGAGTGTCCAAGGAGTTGGACCCACCCACCTGCCAGGGCTCTGAAGAGGGCCCCCAGAGGCAGAGGGCTGAGCAGGACTCTGCACCCCATCATGCACCTGGGGTTCAACTTCCTCATGGTTAGAGGGAAAGGTGAGGGGTGCTGGGACCCTGGGACATTCTGGGTAGCACTAGGAAACATCCAGATGCAAGGCATGTGGGAAGCAGAAGAGTGAGAAGTGGACCAATGCACAGTGGGGCTGCCACCAGGGCAAAGGCCCACACAACCTCCAGTTGGGTACAGGGATGGTGGAGGGAAAGGCAGAGAAAACAAGCCAAGTCCTAGTTTGGGGGTGAAGGGGTCAGTCGGGGTCTGGAGACGCCCATCTACCCACACCACCCAGTCTTCACAGATAAGCACCCACAGTGCGCGTCTTGAAAAACAGACTGCAGAGGTGCCTGTCCCGTCCCGTCCAAGGTCCTGCTGGCACACGCTAAAGTGAGACTATACACCTGGACCCCACACTCAAGGCCAGACTCCCAGCGGGCACAAGTTATGGCCGCTGGATGAATGGAGGGGTGAGACAGTAATAGTTCCACGGCCCACTGGCTGCATCCAGTTGGGGACAAGTCAGCTGGGATCCCTTGCCAGGTAGCAAGCCTTGGCCACCACAAAACACCTTCTTTTTTAGGGCCCATGGGTTTTGCCTAGCTCTCAGGACCAGGAGCTCACCTCTCTAAGCAGCAGTGCACCTGCTGGGACATGGCTGATGAAGGGTGGCCAAAAGGCCACAGTGGGAAGCAAGCTGGGATCAGGACAGAGAGCAAGACCCTCACTCACCCCATCTTTCCCAAGCCACACTGTGATTATGAACCCCCTCGACCGGCTCCTCCATCTTTAAGTCGATGGCCAGACCCCTGGGGTCACACCAGGACTACACCCCACAGGCACAAACCTGCCTGCCCAGGTAGGCAGGTGTGTGGAGGACCTGCTTCCCAACACAGGGGCTCTTGCATGGTCTCCCCTTGGCTCCACCTCAGTTTCCCTGCCTGTTACTGAATCTGGCTTCTTCTGAGCAGAGTGCAAGCTGCCCCTTACCTTTCCAACCACCTCAGTTTGGGAGGCAGAGCGCCTAGTCTTCCTTGGAGACCCCCCTCCTGCTTCCACACGTGGGCGGGGCCCGCCTCCACCCCTTCCTTCACGTGCGCCGCGGCGCAGAGAAAGCTTCCGTGAAAGCTCCGGAAGCTCCTTGGAAGGTTCCCAGAGTCGGAGTCCACGCAGGGGGTGTGGAGGGAGCCTTCCCTCCCGGAAGCAGGAGGCCTAGCCCATCCTTCTCCAAACTCAACCTCACTCCTGCAGAAAGGAGCTGCTAGGGAAGGCCCTTCCTCCTATCCTGGTCCCCCGGGCACCTGTCCTGGGGCTGGCCGGCATACCCCCCTCTCCGCCCCGGGTACCCGACGCCCGCTCCACACGCAGCGTAGCACTGTCAGGGGGACCTACGCCCAGCCCCCAGGACGGCTCTAGAGACCCCGTGGCCCCGCCCCGTGCACCGGGGCACCCTGTGCGCCTTTGCACTCCACGGACAGCTCCTTACCCTGCCACCCCTCCCGGCCAGCCCGCCACAGCCCGGCCGGAGCGCAGACAATAGCCGCCTCCGGCCAGCGGCTCCGCGAAACAAAAGCGGGACCTCCGGGACAGGCCAGCGTCCTGCCCTCAGCCTTCTGGCCCAGACCACTATGCCCCCCCGGACCCCCAGGCAAGTTCCCTCCAACCTGTCTGTGTTCAGCCGGCATTGGGCCAAGGCTTGGGGGCGCGGGGCGGCGGCAGTGGCTGGACCGGGCTCGCCTCCGGCGCCTCGGCGCTCTGGCTCAGGCTCGGCAGACTCGCTCCCCGCGGGGGTGGACCTGGCGCGGGTAGCGGCGAGCAGCCAATCGGGCGGGGCCGCGCCCGGGCGGGGCGGGGCGGGGCGGGGCGGGCGGCGGCGCCAGGTCCCGCCCCCCACAGCGTGAGGCGGGGCTCTGCGGCCGGGTGGAGGCCAGAGGCGCCCCTGAGCCCCCTGGCCCGGGTGTGGGGGGCGGGGGGTGACAGTTCCCCGCGGAGTGACCTTAGCCAAGTGCTCCTTCCCAGGCCTCAATTTGCGCCTAGTAAATGAGAACACACGCCCCTCCGCCTGTAGAGTTGGGGAAACTGAGTTCCAGCCGGGCAGGGGCCAGTGCTGCGACAGGCACAGTGCCACCCTCGGAGGGTGCCATCCTAGCCACAACTTAGTTTCACCTTGCTGTGAAAGGAGCCCAACAAGATAGGAGTCGAGGCCATCTCAGCACTATAAGGGTCCCTCAGGTCCCAGATCCCACCTTGGATCTTTGCCTAGCCCCACCCAGATTGGGGCACCCAAGAACTGTCCATGAAGCTTGATGGAGACCTGGCAAACGGCCCCACTGGTTACTCTGTGTCTTGGGCTCTCCCCGTGGAAGCACAGAAACCTAGGGTGCCTCCTCCACTCCACGCCCAGCCAGGCATGAATGTGAGGCCACACTCTGGAGTGTTTAGTTCTGCTGGGATGACAAAGGGATGGGAGAGTGGGGCTGGAGCCACCTTTTGGGTCATACCCCACAAAGGCAAGCCAATGGCTCTAGTATCATGGACCAGGAAACAGGTTCTTGGGACAGAGAGCTGGGGCCAGCCCAGGGAGGCTCAGGGGGTACAGCAAGCGAAGGGTCTCTCACCCAGGCCTTTCTACCACTTCTCCCCAGACCCCACTCAGAGACTGAGCCTCTCCTGGGGCCACCTCCCACTTCCACAATGTGCCATGGGCACAGGCCAGCAGACTCAAGACTCTGGGTACCCACTGTGTGTCCCTCTGAGCCTCAGTTTCCCCACCCACACAGGGGCAAGGGGCAAGTTGCCCTGGCCATTGGCCTCCTGAGTTTTCTATCCTGGGCAGCCTTGTATGGAGCCACCCAGGGCAGTGAGGAGGAGGACTGGAATAGCCCCTTGAGGGAGGGAGTGTGGCCCGGATCTTATGTTTAAGCTAGTTCTGTCTTCTCAGTTTCACCAGCTGCTAGTACCCAGCCACATACCCAGAGCTGGCAGCCCTGGGTGGGGTGAGTCCTGCCCCAGCTAGGTATCTGGAGGAGGGGGCCCTTCCTGCTGGAGGCTGGAGGCCAGGTGGCCCAGATGGTGGAGCAGCCTACTGGTGGGTACAGCAGCAGTAGCCCTGCCCTAGCTCACTGTCACCTGCCTTGCCCCCTGCCCCAAGCTTCTCCAGCTGCCTCCTCTGACCTTGTGGCTCAGCAGATAGATCCCTAGGCGCTGCCTCCTGAGGTCAATCTTCGGAAGCAGGTTTGGCATTGGGGCAGCTGAGCCTGGCCCACCCAGTTGACTCCCTCCATCCAGCAGGGATGGGGAGGGGAGGAGGGGCACTGGCCTCAGGCCTTGCAGTCCTCATCCCTGAGGAGGTCAGGGCACTCCAGGCTGTGGGAAAATCTTTCCACCAGGGCATCAACCCTCTGGGGTATTGTTGGCCCTCCCATACTGCCAATTCATGGGCTGGAGAACAGAGCCTGTTTCAGCCTGGGAGGGCTAGCCTGAGCACCCTAGTGCCTCAGAGGCAGCCTTGGGGTCACTGGCTGCCTCTGTTCCCATGAGGCCCATCTGAGATGTTCTGTTTCCCCCTTCAATTTGGGAGTACAAACCTTACACTTGGCAATGTCTGGAGTTGGGTAGCTCTTGAGATGGCCCTAGCACCCAGGCTCATTTGAGGCAGCTTAGCACCAGGGGCTTGGGAAGAGGGCTCCCCAGTGGGCCTGGGGTCCTCTGTAGACATTAATTTGGCTCTGACCATGTGCTTGTATTGGGCTATGCACTCTACATGGATCTAGTGAGTGAACATAGCAATCATTAAATCCCCTTGGGATCCCATTTTCCATTCCTCCCCAGAAGCCCCAGCAGGTCTTGCAATAAACCAATGCATGCCAGCTTGTGGTCTACCAGGACCCCTTGATTGTTTTCCCACCTGGCCATTTTCAACCTCCCAATTCACAAGGCTGTTACCTGCAGGACCAGCTGTTGCCAGGCCATCGGCAGGGGCTGCCCACTGCCCACACCACCACTGCCCATGCCAGGCTGCTGGGCACACTCCAGCTGCAGGGCAACATGGCGCCGCTCTTGCTCGAGTGCTCGTGTCAGCCGCTCGAACCGGGCTTCCTGCTCCTTCACTGAGGCCAGGATGCTGGCAGCCGAGTGCACGTTGCAGTCCTCCATGACCAGGGTGCCTGCCAGCTGCAGGCAAAGCAGAGCAATCTCAAAGTAGGGCGGGGCAGCAGCTTGGCAAGCCCATTGCAGCCCCCTGCCTGCCCCACTCACAGATCATACAACTTACTCCCAGACCAGAGCATCCAGCTCTCAGGAGGAAAGCCACATTGATTAAATTCTAAATTAAAAGCCATTAATCCAAGGCTGGCCGGAAGCCTCCAGTTCACTCCCTGTGGGGTATAGGGCTCTGACCTGGCTCCTCTGCCTCCTGTCAGGCCCAGCAGAACCACTGCCCTGGGCATCTCAGAGCCTGCCGGGAAGGGCAGGAAGAGCTAGTATGATGAGTGCTTACTACCACCTAAGCCCTCTACCACCCATAGCACATGTCAGCACCTTCTCACACAGGTGGATGCCAGGGCCCAGGGAGGGTGGAGGACCAGGCCAGTGAAGGCAGCAAGCACGGGGTGTAAGAAGCACCTCCAATGCTGCCAGGTGCTGGGGACATCCAGGCAGGTGTGAGCTGACCACAGCCTTGGAGCTCCCAGTAGCACTCGCCTGTGGCCCAGCAGTCCTGCCTCTACTCCCAGCCACAGTGGACAGGGGCAAGGGTAGTGTCTGCTCCACAAGGTGGAGAGAAACCTGAGGACAGAGCTGGTTGAGGTTCTGGCTGGGGCTGCACAAACTTAGAGCCCCTAAACCTGGAAGTGACCAGTGTGTGAGACGCCTGACCCAGAAGAAAAGGGCAGAGCCTGAGTGACTGAGGCCCAGCACTGGAACTTGGTCTGACCTGCCTGCGCCCTGGCCCAGTGTTGTCCCCAGAGGCCCCTAAGGGAGCGGGAAGGGTGGTGGGGGGTTGGCAGCTGCAGTGACGAGCCAGAGCTTTCCCTCCTGCTTGCTCCCTGACTGGGCAGTACTTCTACTTCTCATGGGCAAAAAGAAGCAGGACAAGCATACAAGCTCAGACCAGGCTCCCAGCAGTGGGTGGGCTGCAGGCCAGGTGGCCAAACTTCCCGGAGCTGCAAGAGTGTGGTCTGGTGCCCGGTCAGCCCACTGAGGCCAACTCCCCCGGATCCCTTGCCCTGCACCAACGTACCAGGCCAGCAGTGCTGCCCACTGCCCTGGTTGGAGGCAGCTGTAAGGGCAGAGCCCTGGAGAAGAAAACCCAGTGCTGGAGGGGCCAGGACACAGTCTGGGGGTATGGGTGCACCTCAAAGGTGAAGGGATTACATGAAGCCTAGCCCTACAGTGACAGCTGGGGAAACCAAGGCCCAGTGGTGGTAGAGGCCAGTGTTGGCCCCAAAGCTGCTCTCCACTTTCCCTGCATCTGTCACACAAATTAAACTGCCAACATGACCTTGCAGGGAAGCTAGGGGAGCAGAGAAGCTGTTAAGTCAGCCACAGCAGGAAGAACCAACCTCCCATAGTCAGGGTAGGAGTACAGACAGGGTCCTCTGGCCACTGTGGTATGAAGGGCCCAACAGCAGGCCCAAGGGCACATGCACCACCACGGTCACCTAGCCCTCTGTACACACCCGTTGCTCCCCACCCATGGGCCCCAGGAGACACTAGGTCTTGTGCACAAAAGTGTGGGCCTGCAGTGGGCAAGGTAGGGCCTTCCTCCCTGGGAGGGCCAGGTGAATCGCAGGAGCCAGCTCACCTGAACCTCAGAACCAAGAGTCAGAAGGCAAGGGGATGCTGCCCTGGGTGGAAGTGATCAGGACTCACAAGGCAGCTGCTGGCCGTGTGGACATGGGGTGGTTTCCTTCCTTCCTTCCTTGTGCAGACATGGGATCCTGTCTGACCTCCAGCTTCACCTATGCTATGTTCCTATCCCGTATCCAGCAGGACTAGGCCTGGACTGCAGGCCCTGGGGATTGCTTCCCTGCCCTGAGCACCCCCAGCATGCCATTTGTGGCATCCAGGGAGGGCCACCCTGAAGGAAAGCCACTGTTTCTATCTGGTGGCCCCAAATTCTGAGGCCAGGCCCCACCCCACACTGATCTTTCCACTGCCCAATTCAGCTCAGTTGGGACAAAATAGCTGTGTTTACCAAGTGACGTCCCTGAGCCCTGCAGGCTGCAGCCTCAGCACCTCAGTGGCCTGGAAAGCTACCCAAAGTGATATCTAGGAAGAGCAGGGAAGGCCCAGACCCATTCCCCAGACACAGTGGCCTCCAGCCCCCACAGAGAAGCACAGGGTTGGCATAGGTGATGCAGGCCAGAACTGCAGAGAACAGCTTTTCAGATGCTAACTCAATATTAACACAAATATGTGGTGTAAATATGTGTGAATTTTTTTTTTTGGCCGGTGCTGGGTTTGAACCCGCCACCTTACGTATATGGGGCTGGTGCCCTACTCCCTTGAGCCACAGGCGCCGCCCAATGTGCGTGAATTTTTAAGATCCACCACTGGATTTTAAAGACATTTTTCCCAGCTGCCTACCCTGGGGGGTGGAGGGCACGGAACATGCTTCTGTGAGGGCCCAGAGAGCCTCAGCACACACAGGAAAGTGCCATGCTGTGAGATATAGGTGGACTCTAGCTCTCCACTCACCTGGAAGGGCCCAGCACTATTTGCCAGGTGGACCCTTCATGACCCCTACCTGGGATTGGCACCCAGCATCACACTGATTCAGCGGAGGCTGCTTCTTACAAAATACGTCTGCTCAGGCAGTTGATTTAGCAATAAGGTACTGGACACCTCAAAAGTGACCAGATCCAAGGACCATGAGACATTCCATGAGAAGGTCAGAAAGGATCAGGAACCTGGAGGCGGGTTGGGAAAGTGAAGGCTTTGATTAAACCCTTACAAAATAAAATGCAAGACAAAAATGATAGCCCAGCAACAATGGAAACTGGCCACACATCCACAGGCAGGGACAGTGTCAACCCAGGGCTGCTCCCCAGGGCTTTCATACCCCTGCCAGGAATGGGGAACCAAGGGATAGAAGCAAGAGGGGAAAGTAAGCTGCCCCATGCACAGAGGCTTCTAGAGGCAGAGCAAACAAGTGCAGATGGTGGGGGATGGCAGACGGTGAGTGATGGATGGATAATGATAGGAGATGAACAGACAGGTAGAAAGATGGTAGAGATGGACAGATGGGTGGATGGATGGAAGGATAGGTGGGTGGTTGGTTGGTAGAGGCATGGACAGAAGGTGAGTGGGTAGATGGATGAACAGATGTGTGAATGGATGGAAGGGTAGGGATATGGATAGTGGATAGATGGAGAGATGGATGCATGGAAGGGTAGGTGGGTGGACAGTGGATAGATGGACACAGAGATGGTGAATAGATGGAAGGGTAATTGGGGGATGGTGGTCTACGGTGAACAGATGAGAGGACAGGAGGGAGGGAGGAATAGGAGAATGGAGGCTAGATCGGGGGTGGGCAGCTAAGACGAGTGAGGCATGGGTGTGGACAGAGGGTAAACTGGCAGTTATGAGAGGATGAAGGGTGACTGGAGGATTGGGATGGGTGGGTAGGCAAGAGGCTGAAGCTGTGACACTGAGGCTGGGTAGATGCAGGAGTGGAGAAGAGAGAAAAGAGTGTAGCGCAGGGCTGGGTGGGCACTGGGGGGAGGAAGCCCCAGGCCCCCAGCCCTTGGTCCTGACGGTGGTCAGCACTTGCTCTGTCGGGTAAGCAAAGGCACTGTCAGAAGAACCTTCGGGTAGAAGCTAAATGCTTCCCCTGAAATCAAAACTGACATTTGATGTCGTCTTGCTGACCCAGACATTCCTCCTCAGAAGGAGTCCAGCCAGAGCCCTGCTCCGGAAAATCAAATTATGGGGCCCGAGTCCAATCTGGGTTGAGGAATTAGAGGAATTTCCTAAGGGTCAGGCCTGTAGGGGGAGGGGCCCTGGCTCTCATCCTGACCGCTCACCCGCCACCCAGCAAAGCATGGCTGCCCTTACCCCAAAGGCGAGGGGGACGAGGGCCCATGGAGCCCCCTCCTGCTGCCCACCCCACACTCCACCTGCCTAGATGAAGGGATTTGGTACCAGGAACTGGCCCAGCAGGAGCTGAACCCAGGCCCTGTGGTGCCCACAGCCCACTCTTTGGCTGGAGGGACAGTATAGGAGCTGACAGCATATAGAGACTTGTTCCCTCACCCCACCCCAGTGGGCCAGGCCTTTACCCTAGTGCCCCTCCTGTGGTCAGATGGTACCCAAAGCCTATGGGATGGATAGCTTCCCACAAGGCGGGACGCTGTGCCCAGGCTGAGCACAGGGCTGGTACAGGGGGCCCATGGCTCATACTGGATGGCATCCATGTCCATCTGTGCCAAGGCCATAGTAGCTCGCTGTCAGTGCCCAGCCTGTGGTGTCTAGGCTGGGGACAGATGTTCTCAGCCTTTAAGCAGCAGAAGGAACCACCATGGAAAAAGGCAGCAGTATGACTTTGAGAATGAAACGTTTCCCCACGTCCACAAAGACGTCATGTTTTTTAACAAGTGGCACCATTTAGAGTAAAACACACAGGGAGCATTTGGACAGAACTACAGGCACCAGCATCACTTCTGCGCAGCAACTTCAGCTCAGTGGAGGCTGGCGTGCAGCTCACAGAACCCATCACGCTAGTCTCTTTACTTCTGTGTATGTGTGTGCAATTTCCCCTAGTAGGAGAAATCACAAAGAAAAGCAAAAGACAAGCAACACATTGGGCTCGAGTGTTCTAACACCCAACAATAAAGTGAGACATGCAATCTCTAAGATGATCTTGTAAGTCTGAAAGAGAAACCCGGAACCCTGCCTGAAAGTGGGTGAAAAGACCTTAGGGATCAGCCAGAGAAAGGCAGGAGGCATCAGAACCGAGGTAAGAGATGGAAAAAGCGGACACCTCTCTGTCCACCCCCCTTCCCCAGAGGCAGGCAAGCATCCCTGCAGGCCAGAAAATTAACCCCACTGGGACCAGGGCGGTGACCCAGCAAAGCAGGGAGATTTTCAGGCGGCCAGAGAGCCATAGTCAGATTCAGCCTAGAAATTCTATTTCCCCAGAAGAAGGGTGCCTCACAAACGAGATGCCATGGGGGAAGAACAGAGATGTCCTTCAGTGACCACCTCCTGCCCCCCGTGAGTCCACACGGTCACTCAGGGAACCCAGTTCCCATGTGCAAGAACGCTCTCGGCACCTCCTCTCAAGGGGCCCTGGCCCTGCACTAGTGGAGTGCTCAGGTCAAGGCAGCACTGGCCAGCCCCCAGGGACATGCTGATAGGTAGGTGGCCCAGGGGACCCAGAGCTGTGGGGGCTGATGCAGTAGGCCAGGGTCATGTCAAAGCAGCACCCTGCTGCAGGCCAGGGAGCTAGACAGGCCCAGCACACAGGAGCCTCAGTGAAGGAGAAGCTTAGTGACTTCAGATAGGCAGGTGGGAGCCCTAACAGTGTTCCTGTTTCCTATGAGACCAGAGCAACATGTACTCCACTGAAAGATCTAGGCCTGAGATTCCCCACTGGACTGGTCACTGACTGCCTATTCCCTGTACTAGCTGTGATTCCCTTTGAAAACTTCTGTGAGGACACGGGGGATGACACGGTCAGGAGTCAGCCTCAGGCTGAGATTCAATGCCTCTCCTGTTTCTGACCCAGACTCCAGTTGCAGCCACAGCCAGAAGTGACACCTGCAGGCTCTGAGGGTGGGGGTGCAGGCAGCGAGGACCTACCTCCTGTGAGGCACACCCAGGTGCTGGGGTGCGCCAGGCAGGGTGGGCCTGTGGGGGTCAATGCAGTGTTCTCTGCCCCGTAGGCTTGGCCCACTCACTGCACCCCTAAGGAGGAGTGTGATGCCTGTAAGCAGGGACACACCAAGGGGTGGGCACAGGCACTGGTGGCCAGCCTGTTGCCTCCATCACCTCCCAGACAGGCTACAGCCTGCAAGGTGCCGTGAGCTGACCCCCGCCTCAGGGAGAACAGGAGCAGTAGAGATGTGGTCTACTGGATCCTAGGCCCAGACCCAAGCTCCCACCCTTCACTCGGGTGGGCACAGGGACCAAAGCATCTCCAAGAAGGGGACCAAAGGCAGACAGGCCCAGGGCCCTGCCCCTACTGATACCCGGGTGGCCCCACTGAGGCCATGAGGGACAGTTGCCCAGCCAGGCTGAGGGGCCGCAGCTGGGTGGGTGCGGCAGTCTGAAGGCTGGCCACTGGCCTGCGTGCAGAATGCCCTAGCCTGGAACGCCTTCTCCCCCCAAGACTGTGGATGGACCCCCTCTTCCCAGCCTCTCTATCACCATGGCAACACCCAGGCTTCTCCAGAGGGACAGAGTCTCTTTGTGGTAACACAAAGCCCCTTTGAGGGGCGGTGGGAGCACAGCCCCTGGGAGCCTGTGGCCAAAGAGTCTCTGAGACAGGGCCCCCAGCCCAACCCCCTCCTGGTTGCAGAGTCACAGAGGCCAGGGCAGGATAAACTAGTGGTTAGGGGCTAGGACCTAGCAAGGTCCACCCCAGCTGCCTGTGGAAGGGTCCTTAGGGGTATGACATGGAGATCCCCCAGCTGAGGAGTGGCTTTCTGGGAGCCTAGGGGGGCTTCCCAACTTCTCTGGTCATTTTGACAAGGAACATGGTCTGCTTAGAGAAGTGGAAAATGGCACTGGCATCTGGGGCTCCGGCCCGATGGAGATACCCAGGACACCTACAGTGGCAACTGGGGAGGGCCGCGGGTGGACAGCGGGATGTGAGGAGGCAGGTCGGCCCCTCCCCCCCACTTGCTGTCCCCTTCTTCTCCTGGTCCCTCCAGCAGGTAATCTGCTGGCCCTGGAGAGAACACACCTGCTGGCTGTGCCGTCTGGGCTGCTGTGCTGCAGCCATAAGCCCAGGGCAGGTCTGGACAACAGGGAACCTCACCCTAACTTGTTTAGGGCCAGAGACAAACTGGGTTTGGGCCCGGTGACAGAGCCCTGTGCAGACCCCTCCTGACATGGCTGCCCTGTCCATAGTCCAGCACCATGTCAGGGAGGCAGAGGCTGTGCCACATCTGCACAGGCCCCCAGCCCTGGAGCCCCTCCCTGGGGTCTTGGCCTGAGAGGGTCCCTGCCCACCCTGACTGCTGCTTACCATGCACTTGGCAGCGCCCCTGCCTGCCGGGCGCCCTGCCCGGGAGGCCCTCCCACAGCGACCTTAGTCTGACCCACAGCAGCTTTGCTAACTAAGCCCCCATGGTAGGGGGGGTCACCGGTCAGTACAACGGCACGAGGCAGCCCTGGCCCTGAGAGTGATCCATCCTTTTGTGAGCAAATCTTTACGGGCACCAGGGAGTGGGGTCAGGACCACCCTCCCCCAGCAGTGCCCGAGTCAGCAATCACCCTCGCACCCCCCACGAAGACCCCTGCCCCACCCCTCTCAGGCGTGTTCTCCTAGTCACATTTGGCATTCTCCCGTCTGCATTCTTGCTCTCTGGGGACGCCTGCGGGCACAGGGTGGGGGTGGGGACCCCAGGCTGCCACAGCAGAGGCAGAGCGGCCATAGGGAGGCTGCTACAGTGGATGGGGCTATCTGGTTCAGGATGGATGGGAGGCCAGTGTAAGTGAGAGAATGGTGTGTCCGGCCAAGTGTAAGGGTTTGGCTAGGCAGCTGGAGGGAAAGAGCCAGGACCCAGGATCCAAGTGGGAGTCTGTCAGGCCAGGGAGGCTGTACAGGAGCATATGTGATCCCAGGAGAAAGGGCTACAGCCTGAGGAGGGATGAATGGGCCCATGA